CACTAGCAGATAACCATACACGCCTCGCTACAGCCGTCTATTTATTTGGATCTATCCGCCTTTCAGAGGGCGCTGCTCAGCATACGCATGCGCTACGGGTCTGAAATTCTAATCATTTGCATATTATACTCTACTTTGCATTTCCTGAAAACATTGGACTTTGCATTGCCACAGGTAGTAGAACCAAACCGCAATATTTACATAGAGCCGCTTCCAACTTTTCAGAATACGTCAACCACTTGTATTCATTCAGCCATTTACGTTGAAAACGTAACTTTCTTTTACCTTCAGAGGTAGGGAAAATATAGTTGGCTTCAGGAGCATTAGGCTTCTTAATCAAATTGTAGACTAGTGTTCGATTCATGTCACTGACATCATTTACGTATAGTCCAAGATTTAAAGTATTTGACACCGTTTCAGATGCAGTTTCATTGCGTATTGTATCGCAATTGGGTGAATTGACCACACTAGAGGTAGACTGTTCATTTTCACAATTTCGTTTGGAAGGTAAATAACTTATAAGCAATGTTTGTTTTGCTCTTTTCATAACGAAGGCAAACGGTGAGTCAGGAACCCAGAAACATCTATCTTGTTTTACTATTTTTACACTTGGCATATAATTAGCTATTGAAAAAAAATTTAACTGTTACGATAAGTTGGATGTTTTTAACTTAATTTCATTGAACTGCAGTTGATATAATAGATGAGAAATAACTTCAAAATCTAAGACAACATGTAATACTTGTAAAAAGTAAAAGTTTTTATTCTTTATCTGGCACAGGCTAAGTCCATTTGGACGATATATACCAGTTCCTGGNGTTACAAAGAATTCTAAAGTGAGTAATATTTGTTTTTATTTTTAAAAATGTAATTATGATTCTTTATTATATTTTTACTTAGAGTAAATTATTTTAAATTGTGGATAAATTAATCGTAATAATTAAGTTGTTCTTATCAATCATATCGAAACTATTGTAATAAATTTTGTGTATAATGACAAAATAACTATTTTTATATATATAGTTATTTTTATTAGAGTTTTATTTTATAAAAATATTAATAATTTTATTAAATTTTTGCTCAAACTTAAGTGATTTTTGTTTGACCATAATATATTGTAACTGCTTAAAGCAAAATTTTTTCTATTTGATTATGAAATTTAAATCTATTAATTTTTCATACATGAATATAGTATATAATATTTATTTTAAATGCACACATAAATAATGTTTTCATTTTTTATAGGTATGTGAGATGCATTTCAAGGAAAATGACATTAGAATTATTTTTAAATGTTACTGAAAGTTTAACATATTTCAGTAAAATTTGTGTTTTCAATTTATTTATCATCTTTTGAATTTGCTATTTAATAAAATATTTGTTATCTAAGGTTGCTTACTTTAATTTAGTTTACCACTTCTAACAATCACACTCCCACAGGAAAAAAATACAAATTATAATCATGTTTTTTTCTATCTAAACCCTGTTTGAAGACTGTATTTGATTTTCTAAATTTTCCTAAGCTCATTTTATGTCATTGTTTAGAAACAATTTCTATTTTATAGTATGCTCTAGTTTTAATAACATGCAAAACATAATCATTAAAATCCAAAAATGTAAGTATCCTATTCTATAATAATAAATGTGTAAAATCCCTTTAAAAATATATTTCTTTGTTTTTAATCCATCAGGGGTGATTGTGAGTCCAAGTCAAAATTCCGGAAAATTTCTTAAGTTAAAAAAAAAAACAGTTTATATTGAAAAAAATTTAAACATGTTTTTTTTCTTCCGTTTTCTCAATATTTCTTAGTTTCCTTAAAATATATTTAAAATTTTACACATACCAATGATGATCTGGAGAAGTAATTAAAATTTACAAACATGTCTTTCGTTCTTGAGTTTATGATTATAACAACCATTTACTGATAAAAAATGAATAGTAATCACGAATATAAGCCTATAAAGCAGTGTTTCTTAACCTGTTTGATATAATGGACCCCTTTTAAAATTTTTTAAGAAGTCACGGACCACCCCCCTGTGAAAAAAATAATTGTAAAAAACATTAATTATTAGAAAACATTTAATTTTATTATTTTAATAGTATGCAAAATTTTTATGAAGGTTGCTGCTTCTTTTCCTTAATTAATAAATTGAATTGGGGGATGGTTTTCGACAAAGCAACGTGCATATCATGTTCAACATTCAATCGATTTGGATGTTATGTTTTTATTGTCACAAGTGTGGAAAATCCCACTTTGTAAAGATACACTGCAGGAAACGGAATTATAGCTGCCATAGCTCGCTTTACAAGCAATGGGTAGGCTTCCAAACATTTTAAAAATTAGGAGTGGTCAGCGGACCCCCCAAATATAACTCATGGACCCCTTAGGGGTTCATGAACCACAGGTTGAGAAACCCTGCTAAAGTATCTCATTGGCTCTCCCTTACAAAGAAATAAAATAAATTGTGATTTTAAGTTCCACCTTTGAAAATTGATTTCCAGAAATTTCTGTGATCAATGATTTTTTTAAACATCTGGACCTTCGATCTCCGGAAACTTCCGGATCACTGTGAGCGAAAATTCCGGAAATCCGGATTTTTTCCGGTGCACAATCAGCCCTGATCCATACATTTTGTAACCAAAAGTTAGATAAAATTTTCCGATTTATAAAATAAATCTGGTATTTAATGCTTAAAAATAATATTTTTTTTTCATTCACACAGCAGTTATTTTTGTTAGAATTGATTTATTGTTAATCATTTCTGAAAACAAATATATTAAGCATTTTTACACAATTTATGAACATTTAATCTAGACAAAAAAAAAAATAATAATAATTTGTAGAAAGTTAAAAATTAGTAGAAGAGTAACGAAAAAGTGTTAACAGAAACAGAAGGAAAAAAAAAACTCGTCATCGTCAGAAGTGATCAGCAAATCTGGGCCTAACTGTATGAGTCATCGTTTTGCGTCCTTCGGCTTTCTTCCCATCTAGGAGGTGGAGGTATTGGTTCGTTCCATCAAAAAGTCCTCCACGAAGGCAAAATTTCAGTTACCAATACTTGATCCATGGATTCCCTTGTCTTCTGGATTGGGTAAAAAATTACAAGGGTATGGAGTCGAACATTTGCAGCTGCAAATTCAATCGGCTGTTCAACAATGGTCTACACTCTTTTAATATGTAACAAATCTACTAAAAATATAATTAGGCAGGGTTGACAATTGAAGCCAAATTAATCAACAAAAAATAAGCACCTTTTAAGCACTCAAAAAATATTCTTAAGTTAGTTAAAAAAATATTATAACTAGGCAATTTTGAATCCTGTAAAACAAATGGCGATTTCATACGCTACGGACTGACTATACGCCCTATTAGATTGGGGTTGAATTATGTATGAAAACGCGGAATAGAACAACGTGAACATAATTCGAAGTGAAAATCAACATAATTAAGGAAAAATCTCATTTTGAAAAAGGGAAAAATTAAGCACCTTTTAAAACGCTAAGTATCTCGTTTTAACAGTCACGTCCAAAAAAATCTTTTGACAATTGTTATAAACTAACCATTTTGGAGTAAGGATAATTACAACTATTTTGAAACTAACATACAAGTAAAATTAGAAATGTTCCATCAATTATGTTCGTGAATTACTTCAACATAACACTCTTAGTTTTGATAATTACTGAAGAAAACCCTGATCTTGGTGAATACATGTTAAATAATTATAAATGAAACTGCAATTTATCCAATCCTTAGTTTAATTATTGGAAATAAAACCACAAAAACAATTACCTTCTAAAAAAAGTTAACAATCATCTTATCCTTTACATGTAAAAATCAGTTTTCATTTACCTCTCCTTTTCCCAAATCAAGCCAGTAGAAAAAATACTTTTAAAGTCCTCTGTATTCAAAGTTCATTTTTTGAAGAACAAGAGCGAAATTTAAAACTTAGTTCTTTAACAAGGAAAAATTTTATTAACATCATTAAACTTAATAGGACCGAAATTTTTAAAAGCAACAATAACAAAAAGTAATGAAAATCAGTAAGGTAAAGAAAAAAATTAGGCATGTATTGTTTGTCTTGCATGCAGTTATCCGTGCCCAGAGTAATCGCTGGGGCGGAAAAGCACAAATCACACATTCAAGATCGACTATAGCACTAGGAAAAGGGGAACTGAAATAACATTGCTTCAATTTAAAAAAAAAAAAAAAAACATGCGAAAACGACTACGAATTAATGCCAAATTCAAAAATGATTTCTTAGATTAACTCGTGGGTTCAATAATAGGGGTAAGCGTAGAAGCTCAAATCTGGAAGTAAAAAAAAAAAAATCCTGTATAATAACCGTGCTTTTGAGTGAGGTTCACTAGGCAAAGCTACAAATAATATTTCAGTAAATGAAACTGAGTATACCTACAGAATGGGCTTTTAAAAGGTGAAAAGAAATAAATTACACTGTAGTGTTCCAATTTGTACGGAAAAACTAAAAACATCCATAAGATAAGTGATTAAGCCTTAACAGGGTAAGGGTTTTATTGTCTTAAAGTGTCCGAAATCTTAAACATTGACAAAAAGGCAAACATTTTATATGTGCCATCATTGTACACACCTCATTGATTAACAAAAATTCGACACTATTTGCTCTAACTTATTAAAGGAAAATAATAAAATATAATAGGAAAATATTCCTAACTTTTGAAGCTCCACAATTCATTGAACAAGTAAAGCCTTTTAAATATGATTCATACTGCATTTAATACTGATAAATTATGTTTCTGCATAAGAATAAATAATGCAATATTAAAAATAATTAATTTTTTTTAAACAAACCACTTGACAAAGTGTTTCTTGTTCAAAAATTAAAAATCTTATTTCTCACAATATTTTTAGAAAATTGTGATAAAATAGGTTCTGGGCAAGACGGTTTAAACCGTGGACAAACCTAACCAACTCTGCTTAACAGTAGTGAAAGTGTGCCTTAAAAAGAATGAAAGACACAAAGGAGATGAATTAATTTATTTAAGCTTTAACAGCATACGTTCTCATTGGCCAAACTCTCAATTTTTTCTGTTCTTTAGGAGTCTTAAGATTTTGTTGTCTTTTAGTGAGGGCTCTTCTCATTGCTCTAGTCTTCTTAGGACGGAGATCCTTAGGCTTGTACTTCTTTTGCTTGTACAGCTTCCTCAAATTCTCCTTCTGGTTCTGGTTGATGACAGTCAGAACCCTTGCAATGGATTTTCTCACAATGTAACTGCAATAACAGAAGATAAGGTATATAACACAGATGAAAAAAATAGTAGCATTTAGTAGCTGAAAACAATGAAAATGGTTGCCTAAATAAAAACAAAAATTTATCAAAAATAAGACTAAAACTTTATTAAATGACTGAATTGTCATATACCACGACCCATTCAGTCAAGTTGGTGGCCAATATGATAACTTTGATATAAATGTTAGCGTTCTAGTAAAAAAAAAATTAGCACATTTGCAGAAAATACATTTAATAACTAGTGCTGAAAAATAATTTTGATTAATTTTATTTTTTTACTTGAGTGCAAGAATCCTATCACCCCCAGCTCAGTAGATGCATGAGCAGACTCACAAGTATTTCATCTAACAGGTAAAATGATAAACGCTTGTGGACCAACGACATGACCAAATGGATTGTGGTCGAATGAATTGTGAAAATGTTGGATAGAACAATGTAAAAGTATGTTTTATGATGACAAAAATCAACACGGATTTGGGAAAAGCTATGCACCACGTTCAACCATTGATTCATAAAAAACAAATTCATCTTAAGTGTATGGAAGCTGTTTCAAGATTTTCACTTTCACCATTTCCCCCCTCTACCCCTGGGCCTTAATGTTTGATGCCTAGAAAGTGATTTTCTAGGGATATTTACTGACTATTTGCAGCCAAGTCACTCATCTGGTTCTCCCACTGAGTATCTTTGGAATGAACAGACTAAGCAATATAAATGAATGTATTTCTAAATTAAACTAAAATGAGAACTTTTCCCATGAAATCTCAATTTTATTTAAAATTGACAATTAGCCGATTCATTCACCGAGCACTGCAATCTTGAATAGTAATAGACACTCAATTCAGAAAAGATGTCTTAGACTTCACAGTTGGCAACTACGTAACGGTCAAACCATAATTTAAAATACAAGCTTATTGGATCATCGGGCGCTGTATGTGAAAACTTCTTTTTAAAGAGTAAAAACTGAGATTTTTTTTGGCTTTTTATTTAATAAAACTAGATGAAGCTGTAAAATTATTTTATTTGAATACTTACTTTTAAAAAAATAGAATTTATGATTAATACATTTTCCGGATTAACAGTGTAAGCAATGTAAGCTGCACATTACCTCTACCCCTCCAAGGGTGGGCCAATACTGATAGAAAAATATGCAGTAGACTTTACAAATCATAAATTTCATGACAATTGTTGCAAAATATACTAAATGTTTTACACATAGGGAATTATAGATTTTTATAGGCATCAAAATAGAGAACCTGCAATATTTTCCAGCTATGATTTCCCATTAAATGATCTTGAAATGTTATATATTAAAGCTTATTCACAATTTTGAATAGTAATAGGCACCCAATCCGTCAAAGATGATGATGAGGGTTTCTTTTAATATTATTGACATTTATATTCAAGCAAGTAATAATCTGCACAAAACTTCTTTAAGGAAACGTACTCATTTGACGGAAATTTTTAAAATGGTAAAAAAAAAACAGGAGAATTTTTATTAAACAGCAGACAGGATTCACAGTCAAATCTTTCAACAAAAAATAAGCACTTTTTAAGCACTATATACATTAACAAAATGCCAAATAATTTTCAGACTGTACATGATCATAAAATAATCAGTCTTTGACAAATAACTCTTTTCATGATTATATTAGCAGGGGCCAGCAAAGACATTTAGTGAAAGGTAAAATTGGGGAAATATTCAGATGGCTTGGCCATATCTAGAGAGGCCCAGAAAACAACGCAGTACGAATCGCCACCTTTCAAAATCCTTCTGGATCTCGCGCCAGAGGAAGACCTCCGACTAGATGACACTATTAAAGATCTCAAAGTAATAAAGATTAACAACTAGAAAAAAGTCGTCATGGATAGGAGGCGTTGGCAGCTACGCGCAGTTGAGGCAGCCTAGGCTTGTAAGGGGCTGTCGGACCGAAGAAGAAAATTGAGAAGGGGGGAAACCTACTTATAATTTGTGAATATAAAAGAAGCGTTTAGTCACATTCTTTCAACCAGGGTCATGCCGTTGTGAATTCGCGCAAATAGGGTCCTGCTATTGCAAAAATTGCTAAAAACCTTTTCAAGAAGTTTTTAAATTGTAAATAGACACAAGATTCCGCTCAACGATTGCTGCTACTAAATTAGAGATGCAACATACAAATACTTGGTACTTAGCTTATACTACTCAACACAGAATATTCATTTTGGACGAATAATGGAAACAAAATAACTCAACTTAGTTATGTATCACTTTTAATGTGTTACGCATTAAGTAAATTTAAACAATTCTTAAATTTATAATATTCCATTAATTAATTCTATGAATAAATTGACCTATTATTTATCCACAAAAAAATAAATTAAAATAACATTTAGATTTAATATTAACCATCCCACCCCGGTAAGGGTTTATTCGATTAACAAAACAACAATGAAGATAAACAAATTAGTGAAGGGTCTGTTTACGAACCCAAATTTCTTTTAAACTGACCCCCGATTAGCCATTCTAAAAGGATCAAAGATGTTTCTCGGTTCAATGTCAGAGGGTGGAAAATGAAGCCTGTAATTTAGAACATCTTGCTACAGGCAGCAGAGCTGCAAATGAGAGAGCAAGAATCTCACCGAACCCAGCTTAGCAGACACATACGTGGACTAGCAAATAGGGCAACAAACATGTAAAACGATAGGCGGAACTTATATTGCGGATGAATAAAAACGTTTAATAGAACAATGTGAAAAGCATGATTCTGTCCAGTTCACAAAATACTTTTAACATAATTTACCATATTTTTCTGTTGACTTCTTTAATATAAATTTCACAAAATAGGTAAGTAAAAAAATATCTTAAACACGCCCAATTAAATAAGCACCTTCAAGGCTTTTAAAAAATGAAAATCTAAAATAAGCACTCTTTTTTCCCTGATCAAAAATAAAGACACCTAGAGGTTGAAAAATAAACAAACTTACATCTTAGATAATTTTGATGCTGCACCTCCAGTAACTTTAGAAACTCGCAGCGATGCTAATTCTTGTTTCAGCTCATCCAACTGCTTCATTACTTCTTCTCTCTTCTTACCTCGGAGTTCTTTAGTCTTTACCTTGGCCTATTAAAAGAAATCTTTTAGTAAGCTCAAATCACAATTGCAGAAAAGATAGGTAACTTTTTTAAAAACAAAGGTACCCTTAGTATTTGAAGAGAATCTTAGTGGATATGAACAGAAGAGGCAACATTATTAAACCTAAACTTTATATTTCAATTATATTTTTAAATCATATCATTATAAGATGAATTAAAGCTGTTTATGAAAGGCAAATCTGAACTAACATAAGATGTTAAATGTTAAAATAGTGAAAAGCCCCTCAAGACTTGCCTTTTCTTTAAAAAAACAAACCTTACTTAATCTTGTGGGAGGTAAATACTTTAAGGGTTACAAATGGGAAACGCTTAGCTGGAAATTTGTTCTCTCGCTTCGAGGATTTATTTAAAATAATAAAGATTTATTAATTAGTGTACTAAATAGATGTAAAAATAAATTATTATTTACTTTCTTGAAAAAAAAATTGACTAAAGAATTTAAAAATGATTCTGACTGTTGAACAAGATATAAAACAAACAAGTAGTGAAAGAATTTTAAGAATTTTTTTTCTTCTTCCTTCTAAGCACTATTGTTAGATTACTAAAGAGAGTCAAAACATTGCTTAACTTATTATTTAATTATAAAAAAAAATCTGTTTTAACTAATAAGCAATTAAGCAAATTAAATTATGTCGGTTTTGCTTTAATTTTTCTAAAAATAAAAAACGACTAAAAAGGTTCAAGAATAATCAAATTATCATACTTGCGTCCACTAAATAAATTTAAAACAAAAAACCAAGCTTTTATAAAAGTTAAATACAAAAAGAGTAGGCAAAGTAACAGTAGGTTTACCAAAAATAATTGATATGTATCGTAAAACCCCGACAGACAATCCCGCATAAAAAGGGGGGAAAGTGACGAAATAATGCAAAACAAAATGAGCCACAAGCAGCAAGTCTTACTGAAAATTATATACAAGAAACGTTAAAACCCGATCTAACATCGTTTAGACATGCTTGTTAATCAACTATGTAATGCTTGCTAATCAACAATCTATGCAGCTGGACGAAATCTTTGCCAGCATGGCGACAGTCTTAGCATGGGCAAGGACCGTCACACGTTAAACTGCGAGTGTTGTTTTACACCAGCAACTTAAATCAGATTTCTGGTGCACTGCTTAAAATGAGTCATTACATCGACTTGCTGACATGACTTTCCCTTAATGCCAATACAATCAATCGATATTTCATGATAATCGATTTACCACCTAGTCCTAGTTTCGAAAATTAAAACATTGGTCACACAGGTTATCTGCTACATTTTAGATTTTCAAATTTATGACTAATTGAAATGATAGGTATAACCAAAACTGTTATACTCTGCATCATCATAGAAAAAAAAACACAAAAGCAAACAATTTCTATTTGCAGAACTACTTGCTTCTAGGAAAAAAAAAAGCCATATTACATTCACTTCAAATTTTTACCTAAAAAAAGAAAAGAAATTTCTTAGTGCAAACTCATAATTAGTAAATGAAAGCTTATGCGGCAATATTTGTGTTTTGATATTTAAACCGATCAAACTAATTTAAAAAAATTCATCAAGTGACTTGTGCAAAAATTCACACTATTAGAAATTTTGCTTCACACAAAATTTTTCTAACAATTTCAGATAAGAATTCATGCAAAATAAAAATTAAACTACATTATAACCGTAAGCTCTAACACTGAGTACAAAAATCTTAGGCATTGAGTACTTAAAGTGATTGAATAATTTTCCCAAACTCTTATACGAGAATGCCTGTTGGTGGTTTAGGGAAACATAAATATTCCATCAAAACATTAATAAAACATATAATTGCTACAAATTTAAAAAAAAATAAGTTTTAGGTAAATTCAAACAAGAAAAACAGGGATATCTTTTTCTAATATGCATAGTCAAATATTAGAAAATGTGCACCTTTAAAGCATTATTATACAATTTTTTTTAAATAATTTACAAATACTATACATGATCATGTTAAAATTATTAGCACAAGGCAAAACTAGTTTTTCTTTTTTAATTTTTTTTTACAAATTAAGAGTCAATGTGCAATTAGGGAGGAGAAAATAATAAATGAATGGGAAAGAAATAGGAATAGGTTGGGGTTAATCATTGATTGCTTTTAGACTAGAGCAGTATACAAGAATAAACCTGAAGCTATGTGACATTATTAATGCTGTTGACATAAACATTGTATTAAAATTTCGAATGGCGAAACGAACAAATGGCGAAAAAATGCTTGTATTTACGATGAAATATCAAAAAGTGATTATCTAAATGCGCAATTAGAAACTAGCTTGCCCTAATAACAATGTAGATATCCTCTAGAAATCAAACAATTTACAACTTCAATCAACCAATTGGTATCACAAATTTATAAAATAAAAAATCTGCTTATCAATTAACAGAACTAGAGCCCCTGAATTAGACGTTTTGCACGTTTCAAGGCACCAAAATAGTGAGAATTTTTTTTCGCAAAACCACATCAATTGTAATTATAATTTTTTCCTACGGGTTAATTTAAGTGAGAATTATGAAATGGATTAAACCCTAAGAAACTTCAATAATTATTACTGAAGCATTATGTGCATAATTTTACAAAAAAAAAATGCATGAATATAACAATAAATACCATGATCACATCTAGATCAAGACTATAGACCCTCAGGTATAATCTTAAAACATCATTAAAGTGGCAAAGAGAACAAAAAAACGACAATCCAATATAAGAACATTAAATAATTCATATTAATAAGAAACGAGAATTATCTTAAATTAAACATACCATTTTTCACGAAAAACAATTAAATATGTATGGCAGACACCAAAACTTAACTCCTTGTTCAACGTTCAGTTTTTTAAGGTTTGAGTAATATAAATACAAATTTGAGCGACAAGTGTCCTTCAAAAAAGATCTGTGCTTATAGCTTTGTAATGCTAAAACATCACTTTCAGCCTGTTAAACTGATTGATAATTCAAGGAGGCAGAAACAGACAGACAAAAGCGTAACAAACAAACAAATATTCCGGTAATTCTGCGATAAGCTAATAAAATTTTTTTTTAAAAAGAATGAAATTTTTTCTTTTTTATAGGTAATACTTTGATTTATTGTAAGAAGTTTTTTTACGATTGGATAAAAATATCATTGGTTGGTTTTAAGTAAAGCTTTGAACATTCATTGAGTGTTTTTAAAATGTGTAATGAATGACTTTATTTTATCTGTCATATAGCTTCCTTGCCATCAAAATGTATTCGCTCTAGAGTTTATTATGATGAGTATTCTAATCCACTTGGAAAGTGAATTGTTTTGAGTAATACGTAATCTTTTATATGTATAGTTTACATTGTAGTGTGAAATCGTTTGGAATGAATAGGTATTCTAGTTTTTATCAGATTTTCTTGATATAGTTTAGTTTTTAGTATGGCACCAGGAATAACAATGATATGGAATTACAGATGTTTTGAGTATACATAACTTCGTACAGCATAAGATTTTTACTAGGGGAGAAGATTTATGTTCTGTATCATAAACGTAAGGAAACTTAGTTTACCCACTAAGTTCTATTTATTTTGGTGTATTAGTTCGAATTGGATCATTACTGTATAATTAAATATTGCGTTTAGTTCTGTATTAATTTTGAAATAGACACCCTTTGTTCCAAGGAATAAAATAAAATTGAGGAAATTAATATTAGATATTCTAAATGCTTTAATAGTATAAAAAATTGAATAAATATCATTCAAAAGATTGAATAAATATAATTCAGAAGATATTGCTTAAAAAATCATGTTCTTTATTAAATTGCTTCAACGAAAAAAAAAGGTTTTTAATTTTTAAAATATATTTATTTAAAATTTTAAACATTCACTACATCATAACATTAAAAAATTTCCTGCATTCAATCCTCTTTAGTGAGACCTTTCAACTATGTTATTTATTATTGGGTTATAACTTGATGGCACATAATATTTTTAATTAAATCTCGCATGAATCTTAATTAAATCTCGCATGATATGCATATAATATTTTTAATTAAATCACACTTTTTTTTACTGATAATTGTATCGAACTCATAGTTCTGCTCACTACATTACTAAATTTTCATTTTGTGCTTCTCCTTATCAGAAGGTTATTATAATGCACAGAAGAAGGTTCTTTTCATCTACTTTTTGTTTCAAGTATATATTCGCTTGACTTTGTTAGATATATATTTTTTAATCGTTTAATTTTAGTGTGTGGAGAAAAAGGGGGAAAAAAAAGAGTGAATTATTTTTAATATATATATTTATCTTAGTTCAAAATGTTTTGTTTGTGAATGCACCTCTTCAAATGTTGGCAGCCCTGCAAAGTAGCAGGTGAGAGAATGGATTCTTTAATGTTATTTTTAGGTTTTTTTAATGGTTTAATATTACAGTAGAGAACCAATTACCCAGCATGGTCGGGAATATCTTTATCTCTGATGTCTGAATTTCCCAGTTTTCTGGATCGGCCGAAAAGTGTTGTTCTTCAATATGATATCAAACCCAAATTACAATGAAAAAGAGTAACACATTTGAAAATAAAGAAAAACAGAACTTTTAGAACTCCTAACTTTTTTTTTAAAAAGAAAATATAACATTTAAAGGAATAAAAGCATTTACAAATTTCACAAGTTAAAAAATTATTTTTCAGTTCACATATTTATTTTTTGAACATTAATTAAAGTCACCAAATTGACTGATGCAAAACAAAACCAATGATTAAAATATATTTCATGCCTAAAAAAAAAGATAACTTAAAGATAAAATAAAAAGAAAGCTTATTAATCTAAATAAAAACAACACTTGTAAATTTCCAAAAGGAAATGATAGTTAAAAAAGGCCCTAACATAAATATTAAAATGCTCTGAAAGGCAGCATATTATAAGATCAATTGAATTAAAAAAAATCCCTTACTTAATCTTAAAATTTATGAAGAGAAAGAACTAATTTATTGAGTATGAAGTTTATTGTGAACAGTGGAAAAGAAAAAAAATGCTACGGTTTTTACTGAATTATAATTTACAAAATTCTCCAGGTTATTTTTTGAATGATTAAATTCAGCTTAACAATATTCCTACTTTCTTATTGAATAAACTATATTTTAATCATTTTCTATTTCACTTTTTTTACATTTTCTTAGTAAAGTAGATATATTTTTCTTTCATCTTTGTTTGACTGATATGTCCTGCCATGATATGAGTGAGTCAAATTTCTGTTTTTTTTTTTTTTCTTCTTTCGATTATTCTAGTTCAAAATGGCAGGAAAACCAAGCAATTTTTTTTCTGGATATTGGATAAATGGTTTTCTACTATATTATTATTTTATAACTTGGTTAATTTGAGGAATATGATGTGTACTCAACGTGTTGAATCATTTCTCCTTCTATACGATAGAGTGAAAAAATTAGCTTAAAATATCTTGCATTGCAGTTTGATTGTTGCATTGTTCTTTAACATACTGTATCTCTTTTTCTTCTTTTTAGTTGCTTTTACAATGTGTTACATTAATACATTCTTATATGGATGAAAATTGAACAAACCTTTAACACCAATGCTGACCTTCTACAGAACGCAGAATGAGTGAGTATTTTCTAATTATCATTCATAATGTATTCATTATTTTAATTTTTAATAATATAACCCACATTGATTGGTTTTGTTTGTTATAAAGTTCGTAAATCTCCAGAAATTTCTTAATTCATAACACTATTTTTAGTGTAAAATTTTTTTTATCTTTACACAGTTCAAAGTCCCATATCTAGACAGCCCCATATTCTCCAGAAACATCTATTTTGGAATACATTTCAACAATCAAAATAAGCAAATCTCTTATTCTTCTAATCTTTTTTTTTACACTATTTGTGAAATGTATCAAATATTTTTTATTTCCTCTTGCTGTTTTTAGCATTTATACTGATTTAATGCTAAGTACACTTAAAGAGTTATTGAAAAGTCAAGAGCAGTTTAAGAACAGCAAACTTCACTGAGTAAGACCAAATACAATGAAAGAACTTAAATGATTTTTAGGCCGAATAAGTTCAATGCTTCTTGCCCACCCTTCTATCGATATGGCAGTGGACTATGATGAAATAGCTGATTCGCAATGTGAGAATCCTGAACTTAAATTAATTTTGAGTCCAAACTGATCATTAAAATTACTAGAAGTTCTCATTCCTAGCTCTTCTAAGAAACTTTTTGTCATGCAAAATTTCAAATCATTTGTCCATACAGTCCACAATCTCACTGTCGTACCATTTTCAATATCTGCCACAAATAGTCACATTCTGGCACTCGAGCTATATCTGAACTGATCTGTTCAAAATTTGTGTGGCTTTCCATCAACAGAAACTGTAAAGTGGACTCGAGAAAGCCAGCGATCGAAAATTAATAAACATACTCGTAAACAGGTTTAATATTGCCTCACGTGCATAGACTGTTATACACATTAGTCAGAAGTTTTCTCCTTTCTTTTTTTTTAAATTATTTTTCTTCTTAACATTGCCCACAACATATCATTGTTTGCCTTTTTTGGAAAGTTCTCTACAGCAGCTACACTAAATTTCTTTAAGCTATCTTCTTTTGGTGGGATCATTTTTAATAAATAAAGTATGTTGAAAATGTTGATGTGCTTGAAAATGTTTATAAATAAAAGAAAAACTCCTAATTATTTTGAAAATATTTTAATGTTGAAAATAAATAGTTTTTATTGTTTTATCAAATGTCTTAAAATTAGGTTTTATGCAAAATTTTCGTGTTTGGAACTGCATCAAATCTGGCTATGAAATAGTTTATGTGCAAATTAGGGTGCATAGGCCATAGCATTTTTAAAAAGTGTTTATTTTTGATTTATGTTTTTTAAAAGCCCTTAAAGGTGCTTTTTTTATTTGGGGTTTGTAAAAAGGGCTTAATTTTCTATCTTTTAAAAAGAGATTTTTTCCTTACCATATTGCTTGTCATTTTATATTACAAAAAAAAATGCAAGATTTTTTACAATTTTCTCTGCAACATTTATTAGAAATTATAACTAGTTTCTCATGATTATGCAAAGTTTTTGAAAATGTTTCTGAATTTTATTGATTTTATGTTTATAAATTAAGAACTTTAAATGATATAAAAAAATAATTTCTATTACTGCACAGATCCTTATCATGATTTTTTTAGAAAGTGGTTAAAAATATTTTTTGAATGCTTAAAAAGTACTTAAAAGGTGCTTACAGGGTATCTGCGCAATTGGAAAATCATGAGAAATCATGGAAAATCATAAATTTCCGTATTGAGCAAAAATTGTCGTGAAATGTCATGATTTTAACTATTTCTTTTATAAAAATCATGGAAAGTCAGGGATTTAGGTCGCTAAAAAATCTAATTTTTAAAATTTAATTTACCCCCCCCCCCCCATTTNAGTTTCCCCCCCCCCCAATTTCATGGTGTTCCGAATATCTGAATTTGTAACAAAATCCCACTCGCAGCTATATTTTATTAAAATATAAAATATTTTTATCATGCTCTTTAAAAAATATGATATTCTTTCAAAAACTGAAAGAAAAAATATTGTTTCTAGAGCAAATTATCTTTTAAACTTTTGTGATTTCAGAATTTTTGCTGTTTATTATTTTAATTTCATCAATTTAAAATTCCAGCTGAAGCAAGCCAGTCATTGGCAAATCTTTTTAATTCCGAAATGAGAACAGAAAAATCGGGAATATTTCTTACCTTTCTGATGAACTAGAAAAGTATCTTCAGTATATATAATTCTGCAGAAAAAAAAGAAGGAAAAAAATTTGTTTTTTTATTTTTTTAAGCTATTTTATTGCTTTAAAGTCTATAAATATGAAGATGTTGTGTTTTTGTCGGAGAAAATAGTCACATTGTCAAGTCATGAAAAATTCTTAAAATAAATCATAGAAAGTCTGGAATTTGAAAATCCCTAAATGTGGCAGATACCCTGTGCTTATTTTTTGTTGAAAAATCTGGTTATGCACCCTGTAAATTGAAAGTAGATAAAATAAATTAAATTATAGATTTTATTGAGGAGAAAAGAACTGTTATCAGAAAAAACATGTTTGGTTATTGTTGACTTATAGTTATATTCTTTGAATTGAAAAAACAGTGCAATTTTTGCATAATATTAATGACATACTTTTTTTGTTATATAAATGCATATCTTTTCGACAATTTGTTCATGTATTGTTTTAAAAATGTTAATTCTTATTGATAGGCAGATATTACCTGTCTGAAGCATATGATGATGAGAGAGCCACCATAGTTACGAAATATGAATTGGGACGTTGTGATAATTCCCATATCTATCCATGGGAAGATCCAGGCTTTGAAGTTTATCACGTGACTGACAGATATGGATTTTTACAGTTTGTTATTTTCAAATTTATTTTTACATCCAATATTAATTAATAACTCTTGCAGATGATACAAACTGTTCCTTCCATTATTGTAGGGTAGTGTGTATGTATGTAAGACAATGTTGATGACCATTGATTAAGTCACTCAAAATCGATAACGATCACACTTATCCTTTAATAATTAACAAAGCTTTAACATTGAATCATGAGTCACACAGACTCATTCTCAAACCACACAGGTTAGTTAAGCACTTACAACTTTTTTGAAACACAAGTCACGAAGACTCAAACTTTAACCATCTAGGTTTTCCTTTACATTTATCTTTCCCATCGAAATAGTTCTAATAGTTTTATTAAGACATCTAAGAGTGTCATCTATCGGATTCACACAGAGGTTGTTTTGTCTTGTTTATCACATGTATTTATCTATCTATCTATATATAAAAGCTTGCATATTAAGAAAACATGGAAAATAATAAAGATTAATTAAAAGAGAAGAAGAAAAATTATAAAAATATAAATATTTTTAAAAAACATTAAAATTTTTTTAAATATATCTTAAAAAAAGGAAGAAAAAAATGTATTAAACTTATAACCAGAAAACAAAATAAAGAAAAAAGATATTACCTCTTCATCAGCTCACGATTATATCCACAAAAAAAAGTGCTTTCTAATATTGTATCAATGTAGCCAAAGCTAAATATTTCAATATAATAGTGTGAGGAGCACTCAAAAAAATTTTATGAAACAAAAATAGAACACAGTAATAAAAAACTATGTATGAAATAAAACAAATCAAGCAAAAAAATAAAGAAACATAATAAATAAAGGAAATATATAACAAAACACGAAAGGAAATCTGTAAGGCGAGGAGCGAATTCAGATGAACTTAACGTACCAGAATCTTTCAAGATTGATTTAAAATATTTTTGTAATACGATTGGCAGATTACAAAATATGAAAACAGAAGCGTAAATAAAGTGATCTCTTATGGCACATTCTTACTGCAATACTGAAGAGCGTTTAATATGTTAGATACCTAGGATTGGCCCGAAAATGGATGTGCACATGGTAATAATATTATACCGGATAATTTAAAGTTTATAATTAATAAGGTTGATATTTAATTATACAATTTTAATGATTTTAGAAAATAACAATGATTTAAAAAAGAATCATGATTTGCTCGTTTTACACNTATATATATCCATACATAGCACAATGGTGTGTATAAAATAGGGTCTGGATTTTCATTGAAATTTACCTGGTGTATCTAGAAGTCAGGGAATTTTTTTTCTCTAAAATATAGAGTGTTTAACACAGAGATTAAATTTTGTATCATTTTTAAAAAAAACAAGTAATTTTATATTAGCTAATGAAAGTATGCTGATTTCCTTTCAGCGATCATCGTCTTCCTGAGAAACTAACAGCCCATGAAACAAAGGTAATCATTTTTTGAACATACTTAGCGTAATAACTTATTTATTAAAAGGTCTTACATTGTATTTTAAATAAATCGAAAGTTTTTATTTAGTTTTTAATAAAAAAAATCTTTAGAATTTTTTCCACTGATTAGTTTAGGTTGCATACTTTTATTCAGCCTATTTTATTATTATTGTTAATCATTATCCCCATGGCAGAATTACGACTACATTGTTGCAGAACGCTAGAGATTTTTCAGAAAGATTTATCTTTTGGAAAGGGAAACATTTTGGTTTTTCTTTCTGCATAATTTTTCGAAGAAAAATATTTTTTTTTCTCCAAAGATCATGCTCATCAGAGAGAAAAAAAATAATTGTGATTTTTCTATTTTTATTTGGGAATTAAAAAAAAAGTTCGTAATAACTGGCTTCAACTGGAATTTAAAATTAATAATATAAAATGAGAAACTCAGAAATCGCAAAAGTTTAAAAGATAGTTCACTCTAGAAATGATGTTCTTTCTTTCTTCTTTAAGGAACACCATGTTTTGCACGCACTTATTTGAGTATCTCTTTTTTAAAGAGTCCTAATCGTGTGATTTTGGCGTCGATCTTTATTTTGGAATTGCTACATAGATTTTACAATTTTTAATTTATGTGCAAATTCAATTTATTATCCTTTAATTCATTTATGAATTTTAATTTTTGTAATGATTCACAAAATTCAAAAGAGAAAATAATGAGAGCATTTTTTCACCTTCAAAATGCGAGAAAGTGCCTATAATATTAGAATTTAAAAAAATATTACTTTTGCGATTGAAAACTCATTTCTGTTACTTTGAATTAGTAATTGTTATAATTAAAAGTAACTTAAAGAAAAATATTAATGCTGGGGAAGTTTGTCTCAGAAAGCAAGAAAAAATTCTGCCACTGGGATCCTTATTATTTTAAAGTTATTTTTGTTATATTGTAGAAGTTTAAAAATATTGGAAAAAATCATATAAAAATGAAAAAAGACAGACAAAAAATAGTGAGTTTTGGGAGATTTTAGTGATTGTAATTAGTAATTGATTTTAATAAGTTTCCTCAATTGAAGACTCTTGTTTTTCTAAAGTTAAATTGAATAATAATTGAAGGAGTGAGGTTTTTCTGACACCCTGGAAATTATGAATTTAGGAAAGAAAAAATTATGGTTTTGGGGGGGGGGAACTCCCTTCCGCACTAAGAATTATTTTTTTCATTTATTGCTAGAGATCTAAATAAAATATTCTATAAAATTTTCTATGAAATTATTAGATTTAATTAATCGATTAAAATTATATAAAAAATAATTAAAAATATTTCTATAAAATTTCAAGCCTCTATTAATTATGGTTTAAGTACTAAGACAGGCATCATTTCAGTGCTATAGTAATTTGTTCATGCTCATAATTCTTTGATTTATTACCTTTTAGTCAAATTATAGGTTCAAATTTTGTAGCAAATTTTCTATAATTTTCAGATATGCTGTCAAAAAAATATAATTTTTTAACTGAAGATAAAATCTATGCAAAACACCAGATTTTGACAATTTTTTCCTTTTTTTTTTTCGGAAATTTTTTAGTTGCAAAATGTGGATTCAAGTTCAGAACTCAAAAAACAATATACAAAAAATTTAAATAAAAAAAATTTCAATTAAGGAAAAATTTTGTGCAAGAAACTAGATTTTGAAAATTTTTCTGGAAAAAAATATATTTCCTGGAAAAAGTTAAGTTGCAAAATGCACATCAGAACCCAAAAAACATTAATATACAAAAAATAAAATTGCCTGTCAATTTTTCCAGTTACAATCCTTGATTTCCTGAACTATTGTGTTTGCATTTAGTTTCTTAGTAATATATGGTATATAATAGTATATAGTTTATCAGTAATATAATTCCTATGTGTGGAATATTTTATTTATTATTCCACAATAGTCTCATTATTCTATCAAAATCATAAATTCATTTCTCCCCGGCATTCCTACAAAGCATGTTTTTTTTGGGGGGGGGAGGGGGAGCGTGAGGATAGATGAGGTTAACTATTTTTATTTGTCCAGTATAAAAGTGAAATAATTTGTTACTTAAAACTTCTGTAATATTATTAATTTTAAAGTTTTTTCCCCCCCAATGTTTATCTCTTTTTGTTGTATTATCTTTTTACTTTTATTTGTAGGTGAGGGAAATTGAGAGTGAAAGGCTTAACAAGTGGCTGAAAATGTTAAAAAATTGGGACAAATATTATGGTGGAGAAAAGGTAAGTTAAAGTTGAATTATAAAATGATAAATTTTTTATTTCAAATGCATGAATTTTTTAAAAAATGAAAAATTATTTATTAGTTCAAATTTTTTATGCTTAAATATATTTTTGAAAAAAAAAAATAATAATAATTACAAGTTTTTTCCTTAAGAAAAATGCTTGTTTTTCTTTTGTAATATAACTGAAAATTGACAAAAAAATATTTCTGAATTACATAAATTATAATTATTTTTATTTTGAAAGGCAAAAAATACTTTATTTGTTATTCAAATAAATAAATAAAGTGGGAAGTTTTATTAAAGTGAAGTTAGAAAAAAATATGAAGAATCTTTTTAGTTATTTGTAATAAAATTTTTATTTTTTTAAAATTAGTTATAATGTTGACAGATTAAAAGCATTTTAATTTCTTTTAAAAAAATATTATTCATCTACTGTAATTGAAGTAATTTCATTTAAAATTAATAAAATTTTTTTTTAAATATCTATACTTTATGTATAAAAATAACCCATTTTTCAACATTGAGAAATTAAAATTAAAAATTAACATGAGATAAGATAAAACTGGAGATCTTCTAGTTGTGTGTTAACCACTGTTATTTTTTAATCATAATATTAAACAAGTTAAATCATTGAAGGGTTATATATAGTTTGTTTATGGTAAGAATTCCCCCCTGCCACAAAGTCTGAGGCCGTCTATGGAAACCAGAATAGCGCATTTCAGGGCGGGTAGTTTCTCTTCACTCTAGGGCTATCACAACAGACCGCAGAAATCTTTCACTTCCTGTCCTGTCTGAAACCTGTACTAAACAATGACCCCACACCCTTACTTGTTATATCTTGTTACCATAGTCACCTCCACGGGTGCAGACAAACAGCTAGGGGAGTACTTATTTCAGACAAACTATATGTTCTAATGATTTGATTGGCACTTTTCTACTTTCTGTTAAGAACAAAATCAATGTCGACAATTTTGCTTAGATGCACAACTTTTTTGAGTGAAGGTTGCATATTTAGTCAGGACTTATTTAGTCATGACTTTTGCAAATATGATAATTTTTATAGAAACATCAGTGTTCTGAGCACTAATTTTTTTTAATTATTGGAATTCATTGGGAAAAAAACTGATTATTTGATTTTCATTCAAAGCATTAATAAAAGAAATGGTTTTAGAAAAGACTATTTTAATTATTTCTTCACCTTTTAAAATGTTTATTGAAGTGCTTAGTGATAAAATAACTGAAATGATTCTGTATAATATTTTAAGTATTATGTGATAGCTAAAGAATCTTTCGAAAATTATAAAAAAACTTGCACACATAATTTTTTTTAAAAGTGAATGACGGGATTTTTCAGAAACGGTGTGATATAACATATTCATGTAATGTAGTTGCACATTTAGTGTTTATAGCTGCCAACTCTACTGGATTTATCAGTTGACTACTGGATTTTGCCAGTTTCTTCTGGTCTACTGTTTTAATTAAAATTCTCCTGATTTTTGTTCATTTTTGAAAATTCCCTAAAATTGAGTAGGTTTTGTAAAAAATATCATTATTGAAATATAATTTTTGTTTAGATTCTTTCTTGCTTACTAGAATATTTAAATAAGTATTACTAGTACATAATGAAGCGAGCCTCTCGTTTCCAGAGACCAGTTTAAAACTTTTTTTTCTTTTAAGTTCATTTTTATTCAGAACTTTCATTCTAAATTAATTAAAAAGAATATGTTAACGATCTTTGATGAATTAAATGCCTATTAATATTTGAAATTATGAGTAAACATAATAGATAACATTTCAAGCATGTTTAATGTTTATCTTAACTGGAAAATATTGCAGTTTTTCTACTTTGATGACTATTAAAAGTCCCTAAAATTCCCAATGCAACAATTATCATAAAATTTGTGTTATTTCTAAAATCTACTGGATTTTTTCCTATCCATGTGGGCAGTTATGAGCATTTGTAGTGTAGTTATTTATTACTTACCGAGTACTTGTGTATTTTTATCGTTTTAAATGTATTAACTTATTAAAATGAATAAACAGTATCACTGTATAAAATCATTTGATTTAAATGTTCTATTTGCAGTTTAAGAGACGTATGTATAAAGGTATACCAAATGCTGTGCGAGGTGAAGTATGGTGCAGAATGCTGAATGTCATGCAAGTGAAGAAAGAACAAGAAGGAAAATATATTGTTAGTACTCTCTTGGTTTTTTTGTATGCTCAATGTTAAAAATATGCAACACCTCCGTGGCAGAATCTCAGCGACACGGCGGGATTGTCACAGAACTTTACAGAGCTCATGCAGAAAAATTTTCTTCTGAAAACTAAGAAATTAAATTTTTTTTTACAGAAATTTACACGTAATTTGAATCATGCATTTAAATAATCACTTTTTGATGCGCTTAATTTTCATCAATAGTATCTTAAATCTATGTAATGTTTCAATTGCATTTTTGGCACTTATTGATATTGATTTTCACGGTGTTTGAGGAGTCCGATTTATTAGATTTCGTCATAGATCTCTTTTCTTTTTTTTTGGTAATTACTACGGATCTTATGATATTTAATAAAAATTTTTTTTTTTGTGATAATTATTTACAATATGCAAAGAAGTAAATGTGCGTTTCCGTCCTCCAACAAAATTTGAGAATATCACTCATAATATTGGAATAAAAAAATATTACATGTTCAATTAAGAAAATTATTATTGTCATTATTTTTTTTGTAAACACAGCGTATGTGTTATTTTAAATGAGTAACATATATGTTTGTTATTATTAAAAGAATCTTTCATAAAGATATTAGTGATATAAGTTTTGTCACAGATAGCTCAAAAAATTCTGTCAGAGGATGTAAAAAAACTTCAAGTTAAACTCAAAGGACTTTGAATTAAATAATTAAGAAAACTCTGCTATTAATTCTAATTATTACTATTAATACTAAATTCTTTTCTACTCAATAAAATTCTATTATGTTTAATAAAAGGGAGGATTTATTAACTCAACGACAAAATCACAGCATCCTCATTTCAAATAAAGATCTTACACTCACTTGAAAACTATTTACATTCCAAAACTATCACTAATGCTGCGCAAAAAGTTAAAATTACCATTAAGGGATCCAAACTTCATTCTTCTGGCAAAACTATGGGAACAATATTTCCCAGATTGCGACTACCCTCAGTATTTTGGGGATCAAAAATCCGAATCAGTTGGGGAAAAAAAGGTATGTTTATTCAAATAAATCAGAAATAATTGTGCTCCGTAAAGAAATCCGGATTTCCGTATTCACTGACCGAGATCCAAAAATTTCTGGGAATCCAAAGCACAGAAGTTTCAAGGAATCATCGATCTCTTTTATGTATAATTCGGGTAGTATATTTTATTTAAAAGTATAAGAACTAAAATTTATGCTTGGCATCTCTTTCATTTGTAAATATTTTTTTCTGGTAGAGTAATAAATGTGAATAGAGATAAAAGTAAACTTATATATAAATATAAATTTAAATTATGCTGCATATAATTTATTTAGAATTTCATGTTGTGAAAGTATCATATAAAGACATTAATTTTTTGAAATGCGACATTAGTGATTTTACTCAAAAAATTTTCAGGATTTTTGAGTTGGGCTCACAATTTTCCCTGGATAAAGTGAATTTTTGTGTCTGATTTTGTAACTTAAAATATCGTCTGCACTTTTTAATTAGCATATTTGAGGATACCCCCTTCAGCCATTAAGATTGAGTACTTGAATGTGAAAATCGGATTAATTATTAGATCAAAAGTTATTCAGTATGGTCCTTTTTTTGGCACACTGTGCATTCATACAAATATTTTATAATTTTCTCACATTTCTTCATTCATTATCAAAAAATGTTGAAAAAAATCAGCTTGTTTGATAAATTGGCTTTTGTTAACATAGTATCTATTTATTTTTAACTTTTTTAAAAATAAATTTAATACTCTCCAGCAAAATTCGTTGAATAAAAGTAGTGACTACATTTTAAAATTAATTTGTAATCATTGCATATAAAAATTAGTCGCTGGTAACTACATTTGTTATGAAGTGGTTGTAACTAACTACAAAAGGATATAGTATTTGGAACAATATTTAAAGGTTTTTAATATATGTGCTATTGGCCTGACGTAATATTATTATGATAAAAAAGTCCCTTTGTTCAAATATTTTTTTTTTATTATTGAAGCAATCAAAAGTATAAATAAAACCTTGTATGCAATTGGGTTTGTTTTTATTGTAAACATACTTTACTTATGAAAACTTTCGTTAAACAAAAGTTTCAAAAAATGCCTCATTATGAGAAAAACCTGAAGAATAATTGAAATGACTATTTGTTAAAATATAATGTTACAGATATTCTTTTTGGGGGGTGGGGGATTAGTAAATTTTTTAAGTGGTTTTAAATTTTAAAACTATTTTTCAAATAAATACTTTTTTTTTAAATGCATCTTTAAATGTTCATTTTTTCATAATTTTCATTTTAAATTATAGAAAGACGTTTTTAAGCAATTTATCAATTAATCATTTTTTGTTAGTTTACTTTAAAAAAAAATTTTTTTGCAGAGAGATTGCCCTTTAGCATATACCTTTTATTATTTTTATAAACTAAAAATTTTTCTCATATTTTGATGATGAAAAACAAATTACTTTTTGAAACATGCTCATGAAATATTATGAGAGGGTAATTTAAAAATTGTTGAGGATAAAATTCAGTTATTTCATAATATAATGCATTTTGATAAATTTTAAGGATGTTAAGTGAAAAAAGTCAAGTGCTCTTTCAAAAGTCAAAGTGCCCTTTTCAGTGAGAAGCACCTTGCCCTTTTTTTGTTGGTAGGGAATTCTTCTGTGGATGTGTAAATTAAAATAAATATATGAGTGTGACTTTTTTTTATTTTATAGATTTTTCAACATTATGAGTTTAGTTTTCTCTTTTCTAAATTAGTTACTGAGAAGGAGTGCGAATTGTTAAGAGGCACTAATTTTTCCACCAAGCGTGGTAAAAAGTTAAAAGTATTAAACAAGTTTTTAATTATCTTTATTTAGTTTTCCCAATAAAATGATAACGAGTATTTACTGTTTTTGAGAGAATCTTTTAAAATATATAATTTTCATCATCATTACCAAATAAATAAATAAATTTTGAAAAAAGTATTTTTTAAACTCGAAAAAAGTTTAAAATTATGATTGGAGCGTAATTTTTCTTGTTAGTAAACTAAAAAATTGAATTAATATTAAGTTTTTGCAATTTCACATAAAAACGAGATACAGTAGAGAACCATTTATCCGGTATCCAGAAAACCGGGAAACCAGAAAACCGGGAAACCAGAAAACCGGGAAAAATTTTGCTCGAATTTCCCGCCATTTTAAACTAGAACGAAAAAAGCGGAAATTGGACTCATCCTCGAAGTTGAGTAGAGAAAAATGTAAGGAAGGGGAAGATTTTTTTCCCCGTTTACCCAGAGAAACGTCATTTCCTCCGTGACCTTGAAGGCAGGCAAGGGAGGAATGTTTTATTTTTTCCTTTAGGCCGTCAATCAAATTCAAGGGTGTGGCATGCTGATTTCGTTTTCTGCTTGATTTACGAGGGGGGTGGGGAAAATGCATTGCNTGAAAAGTTAAAAGTATTAAACAAGCTTTTAATTATCTTTAGTTTTCCCAATAAAATGATAACGAGTATTTACTGTTTTTGAGAGAATCTTTTAAAATATATAATTTTCATCATCATTACCAAATAAATAAATACATTTTAAAAAAAGTATTTTTTAAACTCGAAAAAAGTTTAAAATTATGATTGGAGCATAATTTTTCTTTTTAGTAAACTAAAAAATTTTATTAATATTAAGTTTTTGCAATTTCACATAAAAACGAGATATTAATTTTTTTTTAAAGTTATTTTCTTTGTGAAATATGCTAATTTAAATTTTCGTAATTAAGAAATTCAATCCCAAAATATTGATTACAGGAAATGAGAGAAAAAGCCAAATTCCTTTCTCCTGATATTAAACAAATTGATTTGGATGTAAATCGAACTTATAGGAATCATATAATGTTCAGAGAAAGATACAGTGTTAAGTAAGTATATTTCTTGCACATTTGTTTAACCATACTGTATTACAAGTTAATAATAAGAACAAGATAAAATTGCTCATCCAACTTAAATTAATCAAAATTATCATAACAATTTCTTACTTTAAGTAGAATACAATTGTATATATTAAACAATGTTATTATTATTTATGAAAATTATGTTGCAAAATTACCTCTGGTAATATTTAAAAATAAAAACCAAATTTGAAATATCACTAGGGTATTTGATAAATAAGGGACTTTTACTGCGAAGCAAAATTTAGTTCACACATATCTATTTGTATTCAGTGATTCCACGTACATGCTATAACCCATGAAATGCACACAAATTATAGAGAGTGACACAAAAATAAGTTATGCATCCCCTGTTGCGTGTCATTCTCCATTGATGAAGAAATAAAAAGTTCCAACTGATTCATTTTAGAAAATATTTATAATATATACTTTAAATATATATATACCACCTAACCGGAACGTTTGCTCTTGCACCCCAGAGCCCGAGGTCAAGAAAACTGAGGTGGGAACAGTTGACCTTAGCCCTTTATGGGTTGTTGCGTCACTGACTTTAGTTTAGTTTAAATATATATACATAAAAAAGTTATTTTCCTTTGTTATTAATGTTAGAAAAGGGAAATTAGAATAATTCTGAGAATCACACTACATAGTTGCTTTTCCTGGATGTAGCTGTTTGATTATTCCCAGTTAAAAGCCTTGATTCTTCTTTTTTTGAAATATTCAATCAATAAATAGAATAATTGTGAACAATAATACATAGATGTTACAGTAGTAGGTGATCCATGTTGAGCAATAATAGATTGAACACAATGAACTCTATGTTCCTATGACAAGTTATACCTCTGGGGGTACTGAATTGGAGAATTTTTATTCTCTGGTTCAGGTCAAAATTATGATCTGCGGATGAATGAAGGGACGTATAACCTCTAAACGGGATGTCCTCCCTATGAACGTCTGCGGCAGAAGTCAAATTCTTGGCCATAGATGGGGTCATTGGAAAACAAAAACAATTGCACCCCTTTCCGTCCAGTGTTGGCCTACGCCAACAACAACAGTGGAATCATCGGTATTTATGTCATTAAATGATATTGTCATATTTCAGCACCAAATATTCATTCAAAACACTCTGTTTAAGTAATTTTGTGTAACCTTTTAAAACATTGTTATTCATAATTCTAGTTTTATCAATGAATAAAATTCAAAAATATTTTTTGATATTTTCTAGACAACAAGCTCTTTTCAATGTCCTTGCTGCCTACTCAGTGTATAACATGGTAAGATTACTTTATATTTATATAATTTTATTTAAAAGAAGTATCCATACTTCCCTATATATTTTTGAAGAGTAAAAGTTAAAGATTTCCAAAAAAAGAGATTACATTTTATAACACAGAATATATTATGACTCACATATTATAAAACAAACACTTTAGAATTATTGTGTGAGCATTTAACCAAAAAAGACTATTTCAACTTTTTTAAAGGTTAATGAGACTAAGGTATCTAAAAAAGTGTATAGAATGTAAACTTTTTTATGTACTTTAAGTGCATCTCATTGTTCCAAAGCTGACTTTTTATCTTATTATCTTTCTATTTTGAGTAGCAAATTATTATTATTATTTTTTTTAAAAAAAGCAGCTATTTAGTGAGTTTGAGCCTTATTTTTTTTAAAATTCATGAAAGAGGTGCTATTATTACCCACTCATGGATTGATATTTTAAAAGATTATCTAACAATTATATCGTTAATAAAAATGTAAAATGTAAATTATAAAAAAAATTAAAATATGAAATGTTTTTATCATGTTTTTTATAAATTAATTTTTTGAATTTTTTTAATTTTATTTTATCAGTTTAAAATTCTAGCTGAAGCAAGCTAGTCATTTTTTTTATTGAGAAATGAGAACAGAAAAATCCGGAGTATTTCTTTCCTTTCCGATGAACAAGGAAATTATCTTAACTATCTCGTATAAAGCAGGAAAAGAAAATTATTTGCTTTTGTATTTTTTTCCAGCTATTTCATTGCTTGAACTCTTTCTTTACTCTGTTTTCTAAATTTGAAATCTATAAATATGAAGATGCAGAGTATAACAGTTTTGGTTATGCCTATCATTTCAGTTACGTTATTATTATGTTATTATAAAATAGTAACTTCCTTAAGTCATGAAAAATTCTTGGAATGAGTCATTGAAAGTCATGAATTTGAAAATCTAAAATGTAGCAGATACCCTGTAATAACATACATTCTCAATAGAAAACTCTTATTTGTTAAATGTTTAGTTCCAGTGTACCCTTTAGTTTAGCCCATGAGTTCTATTTTTCACTTTATATTGAACTATTTCATTATAAAATGTTTTCATTTCAGGAAATAGGTTATTGTCAAGGCATGAGTCAGATAGCAGCTCTTTTACTCATGTATATGAATGAGGAAGTGAGTTGAACACTGTTTATTTTTATTGTATATCTCTATTGTATTATATATTATTGTATATTAAGTTTTAACTAAAAGAGTATTTTTAAACTCTTTTGAGGTGAAATCTATCTTTTGGCTGGGTCAGCAGAATCACATAATGATATTAACATCATGATTTAAATCACATGGTCTTTTAGAAAATGATCATTGATTTAACCTCCCGTGGCAGAATTGCAGTGACACAGCGGTATTGTCATGGAACATTACAGCATTACAGAGTTCTTGCAGAAAGAGTTTGTTTTTTTTTTTTTCAAATGTAAAAAAAAAATTCCTTTTCTTTTCTACAGAAATTTACACATAATATTTGAAAATTTAGATAATCACTTTTTGAAATGCTTAATTTACGCTGATAGTATCGTAAAACGATGTAATGTTTCAATTTTAGTTATTAAAATTGATTTTCATGTGGTTTTTAAATATTCCGATATATTTCAAACAATATGGAAAATTTGAATCGTGCATTTCAGTATTTACTTTTTAAGGCAATGATTTTATTGAATTTTTGGCTATTATTACTATTGATTTCTCCATAATTTTTAAATCTGATATTTTTTATACTATATTGTTTATTACAACAACCTTATAATATCTGAAATTAATATTTTAATTGAATATTTTTTTCAATTTTTTCAAAATAATAACAGTAATGACATTTTAAAAAGTTGTATAATATGTGTTTACTTTTTATTTATGTCTCCATCTTTGATTTTCATGTTTTGCTGATCTGTTTTTCATCTTTTTTTTTCTAATATAACTTGAGATGCCTTTTTGTGATTCACCTCTCACTGAATTATCGCTATGACTAAATAATATAAATGACTAAAATAAGTTGGAAGTGACTTTATACGTTATTACTTTTAAAAAATTAAACGTTATTATAATTTATACGTTATTACTTATTACTGGAAAAAAAAACACTTGTAAACATCCTATTAGCGGCAGCTCTTCACGGTGTCGTGCCACAGGTCCCTGGTTTGATCTTCGGGCCGGGCAAGGTTGACTCAGCCTTCCATCCGTTCAGTGGGTCGATAAATGAGTACCAAGCATGCTTGGGAACTAAACACTGGGGGTTACGCGTTAGGCTGACCACATGACCGGAACATCTGCTCCTGCACCCCTGAGCTCAATATCAAGAAAACTGAGATGGGCACAGTAGGCCTTGGCCCTCTATGAGCTGTTGCACCACTGAGTTTAGTTTAGTTTAGACAGCCTATTAAGTAAAATAATTGATTATTAACATACTGGTTTGCTTTACTAATCCTTTGTATTTTTTCACTAATTGAAGTGTACTAATTGAATTAAAAGCCCTTAAAGGTGCCTTTTTATTGGGTGTTTTTAAAAAGTGCTTAATTTTCCCTTTTTAAAAATGAGATTTCTTTTCTTTACTTTGTCAATTTTTGCCACATGTTATATAAAAGCGTAGTTTTCACATTGTTCAACCAACGTCTTCACAATTTATTCAACCACAATCCGTTTCAGCGTATCTCAGCCCATAGTGCATGAAACCCAATTATTTTACATGTTTGATGAAATACTTGTGAGTCCTCGTGTGTGTCTACTGAGCTGGGTTTGGTCAGATTCTTTCACTCTTGTGTGCAACTCTGCAGCATTTTGCAAGACATTCTCAATTTCAGGTCTGATGTTGAACCCTCTGATATTGAACCAAAAAATCTCTCGGTCATTTTATAATGGCTAATATAATCAAGGAAAGAGTTCTTTGTCAGAAACTAGTTGTTTTATCATGATCATGTAAAGTCTTTGAAAATTATTTTTCATTTTGTTAATGTATATAGTGCTTAAAAATTACGTAAAAGATGCTTATTTTTTGTTAAAGATTTGGCTACACACCCTAGGTAGGCACTGGTATATACAATCTTTCTAAGCTTATTTTGTTTAATTTTTAAAATAAAGTTTTTGTAAAAAAGATCACAATTTGAAGTGTATAGTAATTTTAAGTTTATGAAACAATGCAGTAATGGAAACAAGTGCACTTATAAAAGCTGTTACTAATCCTATAAATTAAAATTGTCTTATTTGCAGGATTCATTCTGGGCTTTGTCTCGTATTATGAGTGATGATAAGCATGCAATGCATGGTGAGTTTTGCTAATGACTACTTCTAACCTTCCAATTTTTATTGAAATGCACGAGTCTCATAATATTATAATTGTTAAGGGAAATACTAAAAAATGATAAATAAGTATTAATTTCTTTTCTGCATGGAATTATCTTTGGATTAACAAATTGTATAACTGTGTGCAAATTTTTTAAAAAATTCTTTTTAAAAGTTTTTGAACTATGGCAAAATATGCAAAAAGTAAATTTAACAATAAGTGGTACAAACTTTGAATTGCTCTTCTGACCAAACTTTTGCTACCTTATTTCCCAGATTGCGGCTACATCCTATATTTCTGGGATTAGAAATCTGAATGGGTTTGAAAAAAGATATATTTATTCCAATAGTATATTTTTATGTCTGATTTGGTAAAATATTGTCATCAATAACTGATTAGCAAATTTCAAGTCACCCTTTCAAACTATTAATATTAAATCCTAATAAGTTATAATTTAATAATTAAATCAAAAGTTTTTTCAAAATGGATCCTTTTTTTTTGACACTGTACATGTGAACTTGTGTGTCAAATGCCCTTCTATTATAATGTGAATTTATTGGCCTTAATATTTCATGTCGAAAGTACTCCTATTTCTTCTAAATATAATTTTATTGGAAGTTTTTCTTTCTAATTTGTGAAAGCTATTTTGAGACAAGATATAATTAGTAAAGATTAGATAATTGCCAAGATTTTAGTAAATTTTATGTTAATAACGAGAAGCATCGATTCATTCTTAAAATATTTTATATGTTTTGTTCCTTGACTTTATATATTTTAAATGGTTATTAAATTTTTTAAATAGTTATTAAAAATTTTGATGTTTATTCTAGAATACTTGAAATGATATTTTCTGAATTAGACTAACGACTTGCTTTTTTAACCTTGAAACTGTTAATAGTTATTTATATGGATACGTTTCTTAAATTGAAATTTCGGATTGATATAGATTTTATAATACAGTTATATGACTTCATCAGAGAGACAATTCAAGGGGAAAAGTGTATTATTTTTGCTTTAATTCCGATTCTTTTTCTATAATTGTTCCAAGTTAAGGGCGCCATCTTCTGTTTCGCATGGGGAGTGGAAACCTCTTCCGCCTGCCCTGATGCAAATAATTATCCCTTTGAATATAAAAAGGCATGTAGAATGTTCACAAATGCTTTCAGGGGTCTGCATAGGTTTTTTTTTTAGAGGTACCTATTTTGTGAAAATTTAGACATATATTGTGAAAATTAAAAAGTATATTAAAAAATCAGCATAAAAATATGGTAATAATAATAATTTTGCTATTGGAAATTTTGGGCCTAAAATAGTATCCAAATTTAAAAATCCATAGAAATCAATGCCCATCATTAAATTTCAACTTGAATTTAATAAAAACATGCGTTTAGCATTACTAGCACTAAAAGTTATTTTCATTATGAGAGCATTTTTGACTAGATCAAACGGAAAAAAAAGTTTCACAGAGAAAAAAATGTTTCATAAAAAATAAAGATCTGTTAGAATAAATTTATAATAGTGTTTAAGATGATGTTTGAATGTTTAGAATTTTTAAAAACTCAGCTAAAAAAATTTTGCTTGGTGCAAGCGACCAGTTAGGCTTTCCACATTGCATTATCTGATCAAACACGTGCTACCTTTTTGTAAAAGACAGCTAGCGGAAAAGCTTATTTTTTTCTCTCATAGATTGCAATGAGAATGGGGTTTGCATGAGAACTTGCTTTTTTAATAGTATTTTTTGAAACTACCGATTTTCATCCAGTTGAATTTATGAAGGTACCGCTAAACGGTAATAAATCTACCTTCGACTGACCCCTGAGTAAATAAATATTTTTTTCAGACATTAAAAAAGATACAGAAGTAGCCAATAAGTTCAGATAGCTGAATTTTAACTCTGCTATTTTGTAACATATCTTTAAAAAACATGTTTTTAGAACAAAACCAAATGGTGTGTATCTATCTGAAAGTAAAGTACTCTTTCAGGATTCTTTATCCCAGGATTCCCTAAGCTGCAACGCTTTCAGGAGCATCATGATAAGATTCTTACATGCCTCATTTCCAAACTGAAAAAACATTTGGATAAATATGAAATTCATACTAGTCTTTATACATTAAAATGGTTCTTTCAATGTTTCTTGGACAGGGTAAGTTCCTTTCTTCATCATGTTTTTATGAAGAAAAAGGTTTTTATAATAATAATGAAATTTATGATTTCTAAGGTTCCTTTCACTCTGACTCTGAGACTGTGGGATATTTATATTTATGAAGGGGAATCAGTCTTGACCGCTATGTCGTACACACTTTTGAAGCTGCACAGAAGTAAGAACAATGCAATTATTCAAAATATAATAAATAAGCTTTGAGTTATCCTAATGTTTTTTTTATTACACCTTGGACTAAACTTTCTATGGTTTCAGATTCTGAGTCATTTCCTAACTCTTAAAATTTCTTGAACTTATTTTTTTTAATCAAATTATATTTAAATTAAATCAATGAGTTAATTTTTATTTAAAGCAAACATGAATTTTATATGTTCTTATCGATCCATGTAATGGCTGACTTTTTATTTCGATTATAATGCTGACTCATTCATTCACTGTCACTCCTAATCGAAAACAAAAATCTATTTATAACTCTTTATCTTTAAATTTCTTACCCGTTTCAGTAACATGGTTTACACTAATTCTCACAGTCTTGTTGGCGATTTGCTTTTGATTATGGGGGGTTGGCTTTATTTTTGGCTATGTTATTTTTTCGATAAATCACCAACCATCGATCTCTTTTAAATGTCTGTTGGGAACAATTCAATTGCTTTTCAATTTGGCTTTTGAATGACCTGCATATTCAAAAGCCAAATTCATATTATTATGCAAAATTTATACAACTTAAAAGTCCTCTCTACAAATACGTACTACTAAATAAAAGTTTTATTAATTATGATCCAGTTTTCATCTTCAACTGTCCTGTTTTCATCACAATCTTCAATCATACAATAGAACTCCAGCAACATCTGATTTTTGTCTCCACAGTCATTTTAGGGAAAATTGGATTATTGTCATTGAATAGTAAAACATTTCCCATTTCAAGTTGAAATTCGTAGTCAAGTTTTGATAGCCATTCTTCAAAAATTGTTATTGTCACATAGTAAAGTTTTGAATCAATTCCAAATTTGCACTGCTGCTCAAAAACTCCATTATTTAAAGATTAGCGAACTATAAAACAGGAATCAGAATTTTCCAACATAACATGTGTTAGACGCGGTGACTTTGTCGCAGAATATTCCAGGGTTCTTGCAGAAATATTTTTTATTTGGGAAGCGAAGAAGTTTGGGTTCTTTTATCTGCAGAATTTTTTGAAATATTTTTTTTCTGTAGAACTTTTTCCCCCTTTCTGCAGAATTATAATTCAAGGAATGCCTTGCTCGCATATCAGAGATGGAAAAAACGCTTGTGATTTTCTTTTTCTATTTTCTTTTGAGAATAAAAAAATTCTGCAATGACTGACTTAAACTAGAATTTCAGATTGATATTATAAAAAGTATTAAAAGTAAAAAATTTATATACTATTCTATTCTATGCATGAAGGCTTTTTCTTTTTTGTAAACAGAAAGTGTTTCTGTTACTTTAAATTAGTAGCATATATATTTGCTACTATTAAAAATGTCTCTCAGAAAGGTATTAGTACTAGAGAGAATTGTCGCAGAAGCTCGAAAAAGGTTGCCACAGGGGTGTTAGAATGATACGTGTCAAAGATGATTTCTAATAGTCTTTGACTATCCAGAACTCTGTGTCTCGTATCTCTGAAGTGAGAGTGAACTTCAATTTACACCTTGAAATAAAAATTATCTATCATTATAATCTGAGCAGAATGGAATCAGTCACTCAAAGCAACAGTATGTATTATTAGTATACTGACGAAATTAGGCACGCTGGAGTTGTATAGTATAATTGACTAAATGAAGATTGAGATGAAAACAGGATGATGAAAATCACAGTTGAAGATGAAAACAGAATCATAATTATAATGAAACTTTTATTTAGTATTTGTAGCGCTGGAGAGACAAAATTATATTTTATCCATAATGAAACTTTCTAAGTTAAGTATTAAATTTTGAATAATGATATTAATATGGACAGACCATGGGTGTTAAATCCCCCATGACCAGCCTAATTAAAAAGTGATTGAATTGTTCCCAACAGATAGTTCTTAGCTTGGGAAGAGATCCATGTTTGGTGATTTGTCAAAAGATTACATGGCCAAAATTAAAGCCCTGTAGTCACTATAAATTTGAACATAATTTGGCGAATATGAATCGCCAAAAAGAATGGGAGTTAGTATAACCATGTAACTGAAGCATTTTTGAGGTAAGAAATAAAGAGTTATAAAGTAATAAATGGATTTTTATTTTTGATTTGGTCGCGTGAATGAATGAGTGTTACATTAGTACTGAAATAAAAGGTTAACCGTTGCATTGATTGTTAAGTAAAGAATAAAATATTTTATATTCGCTTTTTATAAATTGTGATAAAAGTTAAATAATTAGTTTAATTTAATCAAAATTTGATTAAGAATGATTAAAAAAATAAGTTGAAGAAATTTTAAAAGCTAGGAAATTTGTAATTCCTATTGTGGCATCAAAAATGGAAATAAAACCTTTGTGTATCTACAGAATTTTGAAGTGTAAAAATCTATGTTTTAACCATATTCTCTTTTACTACTTTTTGAATGTTTTCAGAATAATAATAATAATGAATTCTGTCCCTAAGCTGTTGGTTTTATTCTACATTTGCACTGTTTGCTGGAAATTGTTTTTAAATGTAGAAAGTTTTAACAATTAGGAAGTATTTTTTTCTTTAAAAAAATTGACTTGAGGAATCCAGTGTTTTCATCATAGAAAAAAAATGGGTGAGAATTTCTCACCCTTTCTCAAAAACAGGGTGAGATTTCAAAAAGTTAAGTGAGATTTCAAAAAACTAAAAAAACACAAAAACTCTTGAAAAAGAAAATCATTTCTTTAATAATAATACATTTTTAACGTCTTCTATTTTTTAAAGCATTGAATATTTTTGGTGCATCATCATAGAAGATTTTGCCTTTACAAGGTATTTGTCCATCTTACATTAGTGCATAAAAAATTTGAACGTCTTACATGAAGAAACCTTACCTACGGTAAACACGTGGTTGCAGAGAAATGTGTTCTGAAAGGGGTTCCGTGGTTGTGTTCTGTTGTTCGAAAAGGTTCTGAACAATACTGGTAAATAGGGAAGCTAGATAACGGGGCAGATGTTGAAAATAATGAAAGATCCAGGAAGAAAAGTGAAACGGATTTTATTCTAAATGGCGTAATTCGAAGCTTTTTCCAAAATGCGAGAAATTCGCGAATTTTGAAATTGATTTATAGAATGCACGAATTCCTCGCAGTGATAATTTTTTAATGCGAGGAAAGAAAAAAATATACGAGATTCTCGCGTGCTCGCGCTATAGTGAAAACACTGAATCAAAAGTTTCTTTGAATAATTGAAAAAACTAACTTATCGAATTTTGAGTAATGGGGAAAAAAATTTAATGTTAACATAGGAATTTTTATCAAGATTTTCAAACTATCCCTTCCAGTTAAGCAATAAAAATTTGACTGTAATCTGAATTTTTTAAATTTTATTTTGGTTAAGGATGGATGTATGCTAAAAAAAAATCTATATTTTTGCTAATATTGCATTTAAAATCTTTATTGAATGAAACAAAACAAGTTTTAAAGATTTAATTTCAAATCTTCTTTTATTGTTATACACTTTCGTGGCAGAAATCTTTTTGTCTGTACTAACCAAAGTTGACAATTTTCATTTTATTGAAGCAATAACGTCATTTTGAATATTTATGATTTTTTTTACATGTTTTAATCAAATGTTTTCAAATTTATTTTATTTGGTTATCAAATAAGTTTCTTAAAATATCAAACAGTGTCATATATATATTTATAATGTCGTGTGATAAGCTTTCAAAGGAGTGCCATAATTCTTTCAGTGTCTTGTTTTTAATCTGTATCAAAACACTCACTTAAGGATGCAATATTTCAGAAAATGTAAAACATTCTTTGTAAACATTTCAGAGACACTTTTGAAGATGAACATGGAAGAGTTGGTGGAATTCCTTCAGGTGAAGCTCGAGCAAGATTTTGGATATCATGATGACGCAGCTGTAGATGCCCTTCAGGCTTCCATGGAGGAGCTGCACAAACACAAGCTGGACCACCCAGGAAGAGCTCCCCCTCACGAGTTACCCCAAAAACCTTTCGGATTAATCGAGACTTTCCTGCAGCAGAAGAGGGAAGTCTGCAATGGCATCTCTGATGACGGAAAAGAGGGAATGAATCACTTGGTAAGAAACAGCGCTTTCTATGATACAATAACAGCAATTTCAGACATTTTCTCTTCAATCACAACATTAATTGATTAATTCAGTTCAGAAAAATGACTTAATAGTAAAAGAATTGGAACATTTTCAAACTGATTGTCATTCATTTCTCACAGTTTTGTATGGATACATGCATCGTGGCAGAACCGTGGTGACATTGTCGCAGAATGTTACCGATTTCTTTGCAGAAAGATTTTTTCTTTGGGAAGTAAAATATTTTGATTTTCTTTTCTGCAGAAATTTTTGAAAGATTTTTATCTTTACTTCAAAATTAAATTAAAAACATGCCTTTTTAGCTCATCGGAGTAGAAAAAAATGCTTTTTCTATTCTCATTTGAGAATAATGAAAAATAACGAATAATGAAGTAAAAAAATTGGTTTTTCTTTTCGGTAGACGTTTTCATTCTATTTTTTCATGCAATTATTACTATTGATTGCCACATATCTTTTAAAATCTGATATTTTTAATGCGATGTTATTTAGTGCAACAACTGAATCTAAAAATAAAAACAGGCGTTTAGAAACCCAATTTGAATAGTCCGCTTCAAGTGATTTCGCTGTCTCTTTTTTTTCAGTGATTACTGCTACAAAACACAATGCAAAAAAGCAATGCATTACAAAATGCAAAAAAGGAAATAGTGTGTTATCTTCCTACAAAATGTGAGAATATCGCCATAATATTATAATGTAAAAAAAATTAAATTGAAATAATTATTTTATTTGATGTGATTTTTTTAATTATTTATTTTTTGAAGTTAGTGCTTCTGTTATTTTAAATAAATAACATGTATATTTGTTACTTTTAAGTGTCTTGCAGAAAGATATTAATATTAGAGAGGTATGTTGCAAAAAGCTCGAAAAAATTCTGCCGCAGGGAATACATGGTATTTCAAAATAAAATTTTGAGTGTAATTTGGTTTCCATACATATAGCGCAGTAGTGGGTCGAAACTGTTTCCCCAGGAATATACTATATTACATGGTAATTGATTCAAAGTTATCCCAAATTATGTTGGAAATTTAGAATCCATGTAATTTATAAATAACTGAAAATCTCAAGATAATGTCTCTCTGGTGCATCTGAAATGTTCCCTAAGCTCCCACCCCCCTCTTGTCAGTTTCATTAAAAAAAAACTGGTCAGAGGAGGCCAGATAAATATTTTCATATATATTTAAGTTAATTTCATTGATATTTTAGCTTTGTAAAAAACCATACACTGTGCCTAGTACTTTTTTGAATTTACTCATGTTTTTTTTATATAAAAAGATGTAAATTTGATATTTATGAATCTAATTGGTGGCACACATTAGGAAATTTGCATTGCAATTTCTTAATTTGGCATCAATTAGATTCCCATTTTTTAATTTGGCATCAATTACTATTTAGGAATCTAAATGGTTTTAAATTAAGAAATTTGCATTGCGTCAAAAAGTTTTAAAAATTCACTAAAAAATTACCAAGTTTGTTGTCTTCCGATACCTTAGTATATACTGCACTATAACAACGTTAATCCAACCAATTAGAAATTTAATAAAAAAAGGGAAATTATACTCAGTTTCTACAAAGCAAATTTTGTTTGCTTTGAAAGTAAGTTTTTCAAGGGAGGCAAAGAAAAAGGTACTTGCTTATTACAGAAATCTTTTTTATCAGTGAATTTGAGAACACTAACTTTTAATATATATATATATATATATACATAGGATTATTAATATAGTAAATTCATCTGATTTATGAAGCCAAAATTATTTCAGTTACGTTTTTTTAGTTTCCTTTCTTAAAAATCTTCTGAAATACCTTTAATACATGTTGAAGTCACTTTTTGAGTTGATTTTCAAAAGCTGTGGTAAATAGGAAACTGATTCAAATTTATCAATTTATCAAAAGTTTTGTATAGGGAAGCTTTATAGTTTGAGATGTTTTTAAAATTAGAAAGTTCTCAGATACTCTTATGGAATTTTTTTTTTGTTGAACGCATCTACATATCTCATACTATCTATCTACATTGGCTAACTTTTGATGAAGGTTTAAAAAATTTTGATTTGTAAGCACTCATTTATTTTTATGATTTTAGGTGACTAATGAATGACAAAAGTGTCCATTTCCTATTTATAAGAGATATAATGAATCAGACTCTAAAAATATGACAATTTCTAGAGTCTGATTCATCACTCTTTTAATGTGAAATATAACTGTCTTAATGATTTTGATTTGAAAATACTCATTTATTCAAATTTTTTTCTTTAGATGACTAATGACAAAGTTCCATCTCCTGTTTGGAAAAGAAGGGATGAATCAGACTCTGAAAATATGACCACATTGAACAGCAAAGCAGCTGCTGAAACGGACAATGGCAGTTCAATTGTGGACCCACTCAGCTCCAGAAATTCTTTGGCAGAAACATCCCAAACGTCGGTTGCCGATCTGTCGGCACTGTCAGGGTTTTCCAGCCCTAGCACCACCTTGACTAGGCATGGTGATATTATCTGCTCTAAGCAGAAAACAATTACACGACCCTCAGAACTCAGGCGGACCTTGTCTATGAACGACAACATTGCAGGTCCCAGGACTCATTCCCCCGATGCAGCGATCCGCGTTTACGTACCTTACGAGTCTTTCTCCAAAGCTCCCTCATCCTCCACATTGCTGTTGGATCACTCCCCCAGCCACGGCACTCCTCCAAACGGCGACATCACCCCAACAAATCAGGATCCAAACAAAATCACAATACATGTCAGTCTAGATTATCTTCCAAATGCCTAATTGTTTGTTTGTATGCAAGGCAATCAACCGAGGCTATATTACTTACTCTTCGCTTTACATCTTTAAAATTTTTAGTGATTTTACGAAAAAAAGGTAGTAATTTCGAACGATCTTCAAAATTTAATCTGAATTTTGAGATGAATAATTAAGGGATTATTTAATTATTTTTTTTTGAAATGTTGCTTGTAGCTTCGTCGTTATTTTAAGAGGTATGATTTTTAGATTTGGATAAGTTAATTATTATTTTCAGCTTTTTACAAATATCACTACTATTTTTGTCACATACTTTTGTCCAAATCAAAATCACCATTGAAATCGCCTCTGCTAAAATGTAATATCAACAGTAATTTTTCTTTTTTGTATGGACAGTAATATAGCCTTCATTTTGAGTTCTTGCAAATTTAGATAAAATTATTTACCATTACCGTTTGTTTATAAATCAAAATTTAAATTATAAATATTTATTTACCAAAAAACTCTTAGTTGAACGTATGGAATATTTTTGTTATGTATTTTTTATGTCTATTTTATTTTGATTTTTGTAGTGATTTTTACACATTTGTAATTTATTTACAAAGCATTGTTTAAAATAATTTTAATTCCAAACATGTCAACATGTAACTCTGGGTATGATATACATTACAATAGTTCATGCTTATTATTTTATCGAATTTCATTACATATTATTTCATTAATTATTGCCGTGTTATTGAAAAAATTTTGATTGTACGTTTATAACTTGTCATTATTGTTCATGAATAATTTTCAGCCAAAACCTTATTTAAAGAAAAATTATGTGTTTTTTAATATATTTTCATGGAGATTACTATATTTGTTAATTTATTTTAACGAAAACTTAATTTTACCTTGTATAAACTAAACTTTGTAAAATTAAAGCAACCAGTCAGTGAGGGGAAACTGACGTAAGAATACAATGTAAATGATTATAATATTTATAGCAATAATTAAACAAAATTATTTATAATTTTGTTTTTTATTTTATTTATATGTAATTCTCTGACTGTTTGGTTCTACTTTTGTTTTTACTTCCTTTCAAATGAATGCAGGCAATAATTTAGGATTTTATCCGAGATATGTTTTTAAAATAGCGTATGCTACATGAACTGGTATTTTTTAAAATCAATATGGTAATCTCAGCTCTCAATATTTGTTTTCATATAAATTTATGTATATGCAGTTGTATGGTGAAAAACACTCTGTGGACCTAGCAATAAATGATGATTCACTATATTCAAAATCTTAACTGCAGTATTGTTGGAAATTATGATTTCAATAGTACACAATTAGTCATAATTTTAACTATTTTTTAAAAAAAATCAGGGAAGGTCATGGATTTAGGTCGCCAAGAAATCTAATTTTTAAAATGGAATTTACCCCCACCCCAATATCACAGTGTTCTGATGTTTGAATATCTGATTTTGTAACAGAATCCCCACTCAAAGTCATATTTTACTAAAATATCAAATGTTTTTATCATGCTCTTTAAAAATTATGGTGTTCTTTCAAAAAAGGAAAGAAAGGACATCATTTCTAGAGTGAATTATCTTTTAAACTTCTGTGATTTCCGAATTCTTTTATATATTTATTTTTTTAATTTTATTAATTTAAAATTCTAGTTTAGACTTTTTATATTACTTACTTATAAGAAGAAATAAGACAGCTTTAAGAAACTAGATATATCTGACTGTATTTAGTTATCTGCTTTTGTATTTTTTTCAGCTATTTTATAGCTTCAACTCTTTATTTACTCTTTTTTTTTTAAGTTTAAAATCTATAAAAATGAAATTGCAGAATATAACAGTTTCAGTTATACCTGTCATTTCTATTAATGTTATTACAATGCTTTTTTAAATTTATTGTTGTGTTTTTGTCGGACAAAGTAGTAACCTCGGTACGTCATGAAAAATTCTTGGAATTATTCATGAAAAGTTGTGGATTTAAAATGTGGCAGATGTATTTACATTCACTAATGTTAGTCTCAACATTGTAAAACATCTTTTCTGAACAATGAAGAGGCTCAAAAATTGATATTATTATTGATTTGGTGTTTGTAAAAAAAAAATGCTTAATTTTTTAAAAAGAGCTTTCTTTTTGTTGTATCAATTGTCGTTCTAAATTACAAAAAATGCATAATTTTCAAAATTTTCTCTGAAATATTTATCAGAAACTAGTTATTTTATCCTAGAAACTAGTTAATTTATGTAAAGTTTTTGAAAATGTTTTTGAATTTTATTGATTTTATGTTTATAAATTTAGAACTATAAACAATAGAAAAAAAATTTATTACTGCACAGATCTTAATTATGAATTTTTTTTAAAAGTGATTAAAAAAAATTTTTGAATGCTTAAAAAGAGCTTATTTTTTGTTGAAAAATCTGGCTACCTGTTTAAGATTCATCTGTTTTGTTTTTTTTTTCCTGCTAAAATCAAAATATCTTTCTTATTCACTTATCAAAACCTTACATTGTGTTCTTCTAATATCTATTAGTCATATAATGGACCGTTAGCACAATGATCTTCACCTTGTTAATTTATTAGTTTTTAAAATCTGATTTTTAAAATAAATATTTGTTTCAAATCGATTTATATTTTGAATACTTTTTTTTAGAAGTATTCTAAAAATTACAAATTAGTTTCGAGATCTGTTTTCAAAATAAATGTAATTAAATAAGCGCATCACTATGATTATTCAAAGGTAGTGTTTTAAGAGCATTTTGTATAAGTCAGTCTCATTGTGTTGCCAGAATACAAAACTTAGTGCCAATAATCTTGACAAAGGAATGATGTGTGTCATGTTTCTGACTGATTTCAGTATTTTCCCCCTTTGTTGGGGATAGCTTCAAAAGTTTCTGCTTACTTTTTTTTCTGTTAGTTTTTTTTTAAAAAAGAAAATTGTTTCAGTATTCATAAGAATCCTATCAATTATTGTATTTTTAAAATCTTTTTATTTTTGACTTCTGCCAATTGAGTCATGAACTCTTATTGTTTCCCTCATAACTGTTACTACAATGTAATTTATGTTACTCTAATCATTCATATGTTTCCCAATTTATCATATGTGGGAAAAATTCCTTGCATAATGCTTATTATGACTTTATGACTATTCCTAGGTATTTTGTTATTTATGAAATGAATGACAGTGTCATTTTTTTGTACATTGCCTTCATTGCTGTGTACTAAGAGTTTTATTTTTTATCTTCCATTGCATTTTTATTAATTTTTGATTTTTTTTTCTCTGCATTTACACTTGAATGTATGTGTGAGTTCATTTATGTTTTTTTTTTTTTAATGTTATTTATTTGATGTGTTCTCAGAAATACAGACAACTTTTGTGTTGCTTACAAACTCAAAGATGAGAAACCTGTAGTGTTTTAAAGAGGTGCATTTTTCAACTAACTATATTGAATTAAAAGATTTTATAAAAAAATAAGCATAAAATTTATCTAATTTTAATACACGATGGATTTATTATCAAAAAGCTCTCAATGTTTCATATTTTTTCTATTTCCCTTTTTTTAGGTTAAAAATTAAAAATTATTCACTATTTAATATTCTTTTGGTTGGGGATGAAGATCTTAAACTATTTTTACGTTTCACTTTCCTCTTTAATAATTTTTAATGATCTATTATTTTCTGTGAAAAGTTATTTAATTGCAATTTTAGAGATCTAACTGTGGCTTAAACTATTGCATAAAAAAAAAAAAAGAACTGATACGTATCAAAAGCATTTTACATTATAAAGAGTAATATATATTTTTTAAGCGCTTTATTTAAGGCTATTCATTAATAATTTTGAAAGAAAATGAAATTTCACTTTTGGCATTCAAAATTTAAATGATTTAAAAATAATTCCACCCACTGAATGATAATAATTAATTTTGTCTTTAAAACTTAAAAAATTTGCCAATTAAAATTGGCTTTCAACAAATTAAAAACTGAAAAAGTGAAAAAAAATGCTGAATTAACAAGAGGATAGGGCAAAATAAAGACCCGTCATGAGGCGATTAGGAGTTGATAAAAAAAACTGATCTGCCAATTGCCATTTTTGTCATTGAAAAAAATAATAAATCACTGAACACTTTATAATATTTTAAAGATGACTTTATTTCACAATTGTTTTTGAAATGATCTTTGTATTGTTTACCATACTTTGAGACATCCCTTCTTTTATGAATTAAAATGTTCTATTTTTGAAAAAGCGGCCACTGCTGCCATTAGTGAAACAGCAGCAAAATGTTCTAATTTTGCCCCCTTTACTTAAAGAAGGCGGCCAATTATTAGTATGCTTCTATACAAATAGTGTGAACTCCTCAAATTAGAAAGAAAATTAAATGAACACTTTTGGAGGATTTTGTATGTGGTATAAAACCCTTGATGATGCATGTATATGTATCTTGGTAGTGAAATTAGTGTGAATAATTCATTAGACTCGATAAATAAAAGAGATTATGAAATAGTCTCCAACATTTTGTAAAATTCACTCTCCATTCGAAAGTATTTGCATCGATATTTCAAAACAAACTGAATCAAGCAACTAAATTTTAGTCATTTTGTTGTCTATACTTTATATTGGTTTATAATTTATAAATAAAAATGTTAGTTTACTTTGTAGTCCTGGTTCATTTCAAAACGCAACTACTCTAAATGTGTTTTTCTTTAGAGAGATTGTATATAAAAGAATCTAAAAAAAACACGTTTTTCTTTTAAATGAACTATGTGTTATTTTTATATTATTCTGCAAGTTTTAAACAGAACTTAAAGTATAGGGAAAATTCCAATTTAAAATGCAGCGTATTTGTATGGTACACAGTAAATGTTCAGCATTTTATTTTATGACCGTCGTTGAACAGTCGACCCAATTCTTTTGGGTTTACGACTGCTTATGTTCAACTCTGTAGCCCTGCATTTCTATACCCTCTCCAAAAGACAAGGGAACTCCTTGGACAAGTATTGGGAGAAATTTTGCCTTCATCTAGAACTGTTTGATGGGACTCACCCACATTTGCGTTCCATGGAGAGGAAAATCTCTCACGACTAGCCTGATGGCAAGGGGACTCTAACCCATGATCCATCTATTACTGAAGATATTTTAAGTCAGCACTGCTGTCGGTGCAAGCCGGGTGCGGAATTCGTACGACCCACCATTGCTGGGATTCAAACCTGGTTCATCTCACTGGAAGGCGAACGCTCTGTCCCTTGAGCCACTGCGGCTCAAAATTTATTAGGGGAATATGGAGGACTTGGTTACCTGATGGATTTAACGTGTACCAGTCACCATGTACTACGCGGGGAGTCTTCGGCCGGTGGGAATCGAACTTACGACTTATTGGACATGAGCCCATCACCCTACCCATCAGGATATCCCGACTCTATCCCCTGAGCCATCACGGCTCAATGTTCAACATTGCGACCACCAACGTGCTAGAAGGGATTTGCGAGTATGTGTCATTGAGTCGACATTCTTACTCCGATGCATCGAATCTCTACGGCCACCTTAGTCCAGGAGTTCGTGGGCACAATCACCACCGGCGGAAGACTCCCCATGTAGTAAATATTGAATGGTACACGTTAAATCTGTCGAGTCTCAAAGTCCTCCACGTTCCTATAACAAATCAGTTCCTCTAGTGATCCAGGAGTTTCCTTGTCTTATGGATTGTGTTCAAAATGACAAGGCTACGGAGTTGAACATTAGTAGTCGTAAACCCAAAATTGGGTCGGCTGTTCAACGACAGTTATGAAATAAAATATAAAGTCTTGCTTGGAAATTCGATTCCCCGAACTGAAAACTAGATGACTGATTACGATTGTGTCTTAATGGTTCGGAAATCAATATTGTGATCAATAATCAGTATAAGAAATTTAAAATCAATATTAAAAAAAAAAAAATATTGCGACTAGGGCACTCATGTGTAGAACAAGATGTGTACATTAAAATAAATAAAACCCGACGAGAAATCATTCCCTATCTTTTTATTAAACGAATACACATTTTCACAGATACCTAAAATGAAAGATTAATGGTTGTTCTAAATACTTAATTTACATTTTAGTTTTACTTTTACTAACTCGCTTAACTTTTTTTTATTATCAAAAAAGCAACAACTGTGTTCTATTAAACGTGCAACGAACTAACTGAAAAGAAATTAACTATTAAAGAGTATTAGTTAGAGTCTTTTTCCTTCAAAAAACAATAATTCTATTTAATACTGAAGAGTGTCAACGTTTTGATTCGTTGAACACACCGTTATGTATTGCTAGGCACGAGTCATTGTCATTCATCTGCCTTCAAGACACCGTTTTTCTTTCTTTTATAAAGAAAGAGGAAGTGGTTCAATGCACCGCCATTAAAGAAAGGTGCGCCTTTTATTTCCGACCTTTCCTCATCAACCCCCCTTTTCTTTCATTCTTTTTTTATTTACATTTGTATCATTTTTTTTTTATTCATAACAAACTTTTGATGATACAGCACAATGCCCCTGTGGCAGAATTTTTTCGAGCTTTCT